AATTTTAAAGTCAAGATCCTACTGTGTATGTCCACATCACACTTGTCCCTGCATTTATAGAAAAAATGTAGTATTTTGTTCATAACAGAGTTTTAAAAACATTATTGCAGGGAACCCCAGTGCCTTAGTTATAAGGAGTTGTGTTCCCGACCCAAAAACCTGTATGTACTTTAAATCCACTAACTATTCTATGGGAGAAAGATGAGAAATATCCTCTTGTGTGATTTATAGCCTCTGAAAACCCACTGGAAACTCAGCCACGAGTCAGTTCTGACTCCATGGTACATAACCACAACAACTGCATGAAAATATGATTTATTTTGATTATTGAAGTTTTGGTTCTCCTTTAAATTTGAAACTCAGGGCAAATATCTCACTCACTTGGTTCTTGGAAAACTTAGGAAAGCTTACAAAACTCTTCCCTGGCTTCTGTAGGGCTGTCTTCCCCTCATCTGTTGGGCCTGAGTTTGAATTTAATCAGCTTGAAAAGGCTTCTTTGATTTTAAGCACTAAAAAGCACTCTGTTATCTAGTGTTACCAGTGCATTAAATTGCCCTACTTATTTTACTTCTCATGCACTGCCCAGTTCCCTCAGAGGCTGGGTCTACCTTGTTTTCACCATGTCCCTGGACTTGACAGAGAGTCTGACACAAAGTAGGAGCTCAGTTAACATTATCTGAACAATCACTGCTCTTACCTTTAGAAATGACTCATCCTTTATTGGAAGAAGGCTGACAATTCTGGGTACTAGTTCCTGGGTGATTAGGTGCTCACAAGTACCTCTGAAAGGAGCGGTGAATGTGGACAAGGGTGGGTCCTGTAAACTAAACTAAACTAAACTAAACTAAACTAAACTAAACTAAACTAAATGAAACTAAACTAAACTCATTGCTGATGAGTTTAATTCTGATGCTTAATAGGCCTAATAGTGTAGGACTGTCCCATAGTCTTCATAAGGCTGCAATCTTTATGGAAACCAACTGCCAAATAGTCCCTTCTCAAGTTGCTGGTGGGTTCAAACTGCTCACTGTTCATTTAACAGCTGAGCACATAAACATTGTGTCACCTAAGCTTCTTCTTTTTTTTTTTTTACCTAAGCTTCGTAATGAGGCCCATAACCACATCAAAATAAAATTAATTGTGTAATTAATTCCAACTCATAGATACAGCCAATACCCCAAACCAAACGAAACCAAACCAAACCAAATTTGCTACTGTCAAGAGTCCAACTCACAGCAACCCTTTAAGATAAGCTAGAACTGCTCCTTCTGGTTTCTGAGGCTGTAAATCTTGAAGGAAGCAGACAGTCCCATCTACCAAAAGGAACTTTTTTGAAAGGGGAGCAAATTCTGGATGAGCATTGTTATTTCTTTTTACCACCAGGTGGCAATATATCCAATATATGCAAAATTACCAGAATAATTTTTCAAGGTTTTCATCTACCCATCTATCTTGTCATCTACTCATTAACCCTTTAATAAGCCCATTATGTAATTAAATCATTTACCCATGCACCCATCCATTTATTGACAAACTCTTTCATCCAATCTTTTTCCTTTCATTTACTTACCTCCCACCCACTAATTTATTTACAAGTCCATTCTTTCATCTAATTATTTTGCTAGCCAGTCACTACTTATACATTCAGTCAGTTTTTAAAAACGTAGGAACAAAATTGGCTATCTGGAACAGAATATACACTACAGATTAAATGGGATGGAGGAGGGAGAATAACAGAGGAAAGAGAACCTCGCCCAAATGACAGATGGTGGGTGAAGTTATACAACAAAATTTTGGTTTAAAATTGTAAAAAGTTAATTGCAACAGTCAATGGTATCTAATGCCTATGATGTGACTATCCTGCAAATAAAAACAAATTAAGAGCAGTGGGTCAGGTAACAAACAATGAGGACACAGCAATGAAAAAGTAGAAGTTTAGGGATTTTTTTTTCCATTTCACTCTTGGCATTTACATTTCTAGTGAGAAAGAATACACAACAAACAAGGAAATTCAGAAAGGAGCAAGACCGTTTCAGACTGACAAAGGCTAAGAGGAAAAATGAAAAAGGGATAATGTTAGTCTGAAGGACATTTGAGATAAGACTGGAAGAATAAATGGTAGGGTCACTTGTGCAAGTCTGAGAAACATCTTTTGAGGTCAGGGAAATAGCAAGTACAGAAGACTCAAGGTGAAATGATCCTAGTTTATGTGAGGCACAGAAAGACGTGGCTGGGCAGAATGAATGAATAAAACGTGGCCAGTGACCAGGCCAGAGAAGTAGGCTGACTCAGCACCTTCACAGCCTCAAAGGTTGTGAAGAGGAGTTTAGACTTTATTTTTTTTTCTTTTTTCTTTTTTTGAGTTTAGACTTTATTCTAAGGGTACTGAGAAGCAAAGGACAGTCAGCGCAGGAATATAAAGCATTGACTTGTATTTTTTTTTCTGCCTAAGTTGTTGGGTGAGGAAAAGACTTTGGGGAACAAGGCATTAGAAAGGGACACCAGTTTCACTGTTGGAGGGTGAGGTTGACCAGGAGAAGATAGTGACTTGGATCACAGTGGCACTGCTGACCTGGTGAGCAATGCAGTGGTTTGAGCTAGGGAGGAAGAAGAGGGGAGTTGATATTCAGTGTCATGACAGCCCCACTGTGACACCATCACTGTCATCAATTTGATCAAAACTTTTTTTGGGGAAAAAAAGCAAAACATTCCTATATAGATCAGAACACCATTTTCTAACTTATTCCCAAAACTTTTAACTTTGAACCTTTATAAAAATCTCCAAATACAGATTCCTTTGAGTCACTCCAGAAAGGCTGTCCTGGGAGAGGGTGGAGAAGGTTGTGGGTCTAGATGAAGCTTTTCTTTGACCAACCCTTGCAAACATGCCTTACCCAGGCCTCCAAACATGCCGCCCCCTCCGTGGAAGAAGAGGATTCCTCTCCTGGGCTTGGAGGATTCTGCCTTAGGCTGGTACAGTCTCACACGTATTGTCCCAAAACGTAGATTGGTTATCTTAAGTGCAGGGTCTCTCCGTGAAAATGCATGGTCTTGAAAAAAACGGAAAAATTTGGGCATGGAACAGATATGCAGCTTCTCGAGTATGCTGCCCTGTTAAAGAGATAAAAGAAAGAGAGAAAGACTTTAGAAGATATTAAGACCCGAGGTGGTTGTTGTTGTTATGTGCCGTCGAGTCGCTTGCGACTCAAAGCGACCCTATGTACAACAGCCCTAAACTCTGCTCTGTTCTGTGCCAGTCGCACTATCTCTGACACTCCCATCCCGATTATCCCAGTCACTGAATCAATCCACCTCATAGAGGGCCTTCCCCTCCTGCGCTGTCCCTCCACCCTCCCAAGCATGATGTCCTTCTCCAAGGACCAGTCTCTCCTCACAACATGTCCAAAGTATGTTAGACGGAGCCTCAGAATCCTTGCCTCCAAGGAGCCACCCGGTTTAACCCTTTCCAGGATGAATCTGTTCGTTTTCCTAGCAGTCCATGGTACTCTCAATACTCTTCTCCAGCACCACAGCTCAAAGGCATCAATTCTCCTTCTATCCTCCTTGGTCATTGTCCAACTCTCTGATGCATAACAAGTGATTGCAAAGACGATGGCCTGTATCAGACACACCTTAGTCTCCAGAGAGACACCATTGCTCTTCAGTACTTTGGAATAGCAGGCCTCTGAAAACCCTATGTAAATCCCACTCAAGAAGAGATCGTATTTCTCCCCCTGGAGCAGCTGGTGGATTCTAACCACACACCTTGGAATTGACACTGCAACTCCCTCCCAACGAGGCCACCAGAGCTCCCTGGGTGAACTTGAACCTCTCAACTGTTGGTTAGCAGCCAAGCATGTTAAACCAAGTGCACTACTCATCTAACAGGTAAATCTTTGCCCTCTGTTAGACCATGAGTAGTGCACTTGAGTTAACATGCTTGGCTGCTAACCAACCCTTGAAAGGTTCGAGTTCACCCAGGGAGCTCTGGTGGCCTCATTGGGAGGGAGTTGCAGTGTCAATTCCAAGGTGGGTGGTTAGGATCCACCAGCTGCTTCAGGGGAGAAAGACAATCTCTTCTTGCGTGGGATTTACACTGTTTTTCAGTGAGATTTAACAGCCACTGAAAAGCCCATGGTGGGGGGCGGGGTCAGCTATGTGTAGGTTCTAACTGGAAGGCAATGAGTTTGAGTATTTTATGTTTACTCAGTGACATATCTGAGGAAAATCCTGGCAATCTAGTTATGAAAATGCCAACCTTCAAAACCCTATAGAGCCCAGCCTTCAAAGCCCTATAGAGCACAGCCTTCAAAGCCCTATAGAGCACAGCCTTCAAAGCCCTATAGAGCACAGACTCAAATGGGGTTGCCATGAGTTATAGTCAACTTGGTGGTAACTGCTTTGGACAGTTGCCAGGACGAGAATATTTTTGTAACTTTTCATCTGTCTCCCAAATACACAGAAGGTTCGCCAGAAGGACATGGACTCTGAGGTATGTCCTGATGAAGGGTAAGGATGTAAGAACTTCTTTCTAAATGCTGTTGGTTGAGTAATGGTGCATATTTGCCACGAGCACAAAACCTTGCCAACCTCACTCTCATCAGCTCTGGATTGTACATTACTCAGCTGGAGATGGCCACAGTAGTTGATCACCTGTGTCAACATTTATCATTGCCAGCAAGACCGTTGGGTTATGACGGATTTCAAAGCTTGTAAGCTGTGTCTGTGTTCAACCGAGATGGATTGTACTGGACAATTCTGCTGTAAAGAGACTTTCTTAAAGTAATAAGAAGCAAAGATATCACTCATGGGCCAGGCGGGCCTGACTCAAGTCATCGCCTTTTCAATCACCCCAAAAGCATGTGAAAATTGGTCAATGAAATAAGAAGACTGAAAAAGAATTGATGCACTCAAACTGTAGTGGTGGCAAGGCACATTGAACATAATGTGGATGGACAAATCTGTCTTGGAAGAAATATAATCAGAATGCTCCTTAGAACTGAGAATGATGAGGCTTTGGCTTTCTGATTTTGGACAGATGATCAGGAAAGATCAGTCACTTTAACATCTTATTTGTCAGAATAGCAACAATAAAACAAAATGCCCCAAACAATGTCAACACTATGAAATGGATTGGTACAGTAGCTGCAAAAATGGATTCAGACATATCAGTGATCATGAAGATGACACAGAACTGGGCAACCTTGTCTTTTATTATACGTAAGGTCACCCTGTGCCAAATCTGATGTGGTAACAACAAACAACAACATGTTCAGCAGAAAAGTGTCATGTGATCACTTAGGGAGTGTCGCCTATGGGCTCTTAAGGTGGCATAGTCCATATGGAATTGTGCTGCAGACCCAAAAGTGGTGCCTCTCTGGCAGTTCAAACCCACCAGCCTTAGTGTTAAATTGTGCTGCCATCTCAAAGGCAGACAGTTCAAATCCACCAACTGTTTCATTGCTCTGACTTGATGGCAATGGGTTCAGTTGTGGGCTCTAGGTGAAGGAAATGACTAAGTGCTTAGGCTACTCCCTAAACATTTGACAGATCAAATCCACCCCTAAGTGCTTCAGAAGAAAAGCTGGTCATCTGTTTAGAAAGATCACAGCCATTGAAGACTCCGAAGAACGCAGTTCTATTCTGAAACACCTGAGGTAACCAGGAGTGAAGACTTGGTGACAACTGATTGGTTTATTTGTTGTGCACTCAGGAGGGAATAATGACACCAAATAGTTTTGCCAAACTATTGTAATTGCTTTCTAGCTGACATAGTTACTTTTATCAGAAAGAAATGAATATCTGAATATTTCAAGAAAGAATTATAGGACAAAACATTATCTTTCTTTTATGAAGTATATTTCCACCATTTTGGATTTCCTCTTTCTTGAACATTGAGCATCTATTTCTGTTATAAGGAACACACCATAAGGATGATTATAATGAAAAGAATCTCTCTTTTTAATGAGAAAAAGATCCATAAATCAGCACTTAAACACTCATTAAGCACCGAATGCTAAATTTCATTAGACATGTTTCCTGCATGGCTTGTCTCCTCGGTCATTGTCCATAGGTCTCTGAGTAGCTGTAGGAATATACAAGTGCAGACTCAAGGCCCAGCTTTATTTCTGATTTTGTAGAAAGGGACTGTACATCACCAGGCAGAGCCCTAAGCTCCAAAATATCACCTGGACAGAGCATGGGGAAAGTGATATCTCAGGAGTATCCACCTTGGGGAAATAAGATCTCTTGACACTTACAAGACACCCAAAATGTGACAACACTAAGTGGTTTGGATTATTATCTTGGTTAAACTTCTCAAGGACCCTGTAAGGCAAGCTCTGATCACCGTTTCGTTGCTGTTAGTTGCTATCAGGTCAGTTTAGAGTTGTTCCAACTCAAAGCATCTTTGCTTACAATAGAACCAAATATTGCCAGATCCTGCACCATTCTCATAATTGTTGGTATGTCTGAGCATGTTCTTACAGCCACTGTGCCAGGATATCTCCTTGAGGGTGTTCTTCTTTCTCAATGACCATTTGTTTTGTCAAGTCTGATATCTTTCCCCACAACTGATCTAACCAGATAACAGGTCTAAAACAAGGGAGATCAAGTCTTGTCATCCTTATTTCTGGGAAGTGTTATAGCTGTATGTCTTCCAAAACAAGTTCATTTTCTGGCAGTCTCCACGGTTTATCAATTATTCTTTGCAATACTATTACTAATAAATGTCTATTTATTGAAATTCGGGTGGGATAGACTCAAAGTCATATTTTGGTTGCCTTGGATTTGGTTTAATTTTCCTCAGCTTTAGCTTGAATTTCCATATGAGTAGTTAGTGGTCTGTTCCACAATCAGCTCCTGGCCTCGTTTTCACAGCTGATATTGAGTTTCTCCAGCGGTTCTTTCCACATATGTAATCAATCTGATTCCTATGCATACCATCAGGTGAAATCCAGGTGTTTTTGACTTGTAGTGTTGGAGAAGAGTACCAAATATTCCATTGACTGGCTTAGATAGAAAGCAGCCTGCGTGTTCCTTGAAGGCAAGGATGGTGAAGTTTTGTCTCACATATTTTGAGTATGTTGGTAGGAGGAGCCACGCCTTGGAGAAGAACTTCATGGTTGGAAAAGTGGAATGTCAGCAAAAGAGAAGACCTTCAACATGACAGATTGACACAGTGACTGTAACAAAGTGCCTACGTGTATTGGACATGATGAAGATGACACAGGGTAGGGCAAGGTTCAGATCCTTTGTGTGTGGGTTACTATGAGTCATGGTTGGCTCAACAACACATAACAGCAATTTGGCAAACTCACGTGTGTCCAGAGAACAAATGTTCTCCAAAGAATTTTCAATGTTTGATTTCTTTGAAAGCAGATCATTGGTTGTTAAAGAGCAATGATGTCAGTTTGAAGACTAAGTTGTATCTGATTCAATCCATGGTCTTTTCTACTGCTTGTTATGTGTCTGAAAGTTGGACAATAGCTGAAGATCACAAAAGAAGTATTGAAGTTGTCAATGATTTCATCTTGCTTATATTCACAATCAACACCCTTGAGCCCAGCAGATTTACCCAATGCAATATATCTCTTGATTTCTTGACTGCTGGAACCAAGGGTGTTGATTGTGGATACAAGCACGATAAAATCATGGACAACTTAAATTTTCTCTCCATCTATCATGATGTTGCCTTTTGGCCCAGGGATGAAGACTTTTGTTTTCTTAAGGTTGAGATGTGATCCATTTTGAAGTCTGTCATGTTTGATCTCATGCTACAAGCATTGCAAGTCCTCTTCATTTTCAGCAAATAATGTGTCATATGTAAACAAGGTTGTGTAATTTCAATTTAGTCTTTGGGAATCCCTCGAGGTGGTGCAAAGCAGTGAACTCACTTGACTACTAACTGAATGATTGAAGGTTAAAGTTCACCCATAGGCAGGCAGAAAAAAAGACGCAATGATCTACTTTCTAAAAAGTCAAACATTGAAAATTCTATAGCAAACATTTGTACTACGACACACGTGAGGTTGCCAAAATTTTTCATCAACTTGGAAACTCATTTTATTGCTTTTTGAGCACTTTCTAAGTGTCAGATGTTAAATGCCTTGTCTTATTTTATCCCCACATCACCATTTTTGACAAATCTCTGTTCTTGTGTTTCAGTGCTGACTATTCTTGTATTTTAGTGAAGGAAACAGATGGATGCAAAGAGGAGGTTAGAGAACTAACGTGGGGGACATGAAGACTGTCTAAGATCAGGCTCTTAGTTTCTAGGTTTTCCACGGGTCAGAATTGTAAAAATGTACTCAATGGCTTTTGGGTTTGGTATTTCTCTTTCTTAAGCATCCATTTCTTCCTGTACTTGTCTCTCTTCTAGAAAGAAAGTGGTGATTAACCCCTTAAGGAACTGCTGCCTCATCATCCTCATTGCCATGGCCTCATGAGGATCCTAGAGGACTCCTTTCTGGAGGGGTCAGAAGGAAATTGCCCAAGCTAGGCTCAAACTTCAGACTATCCCAGGTCTCCTGTGAACAGCGTGAAGCAGCTGTGATCAGAAGTTGCTCAGTTTGAAGGTTGTTGTGGTTGTTATTTTTATGTGCCGTCAAATTGCCTGTGACTCATAGCAACCCTATATATGATGGCTCTGAAGCCTGCCCTGTCCTCATTCAGTCTCACTGACTCCAACACACCTACTTCCATTGCCCCAGTTACTATATCAATCCATTGCATCCAGGATCTTCCTTTCCTGCACTGTCCCTCCACCCTTCCGAGCGTGATTTGCTTCACCAAGGACTGTTCCCTCCTGGTCACGTGTCGAAAGTATGTGAGATGGAACTTCAAAATCCTAGCCTCCAATGACTAGTTTGCTTTCACCCTCTCCAAGACAAACCTATTTGTTTCCTTGATGGTTGTGGTATGCTCAAGACTCTTCTCCAGCACCACAACTCAAAAGCATCAATTCTTTTTCTGTCATCCTTAGTCATTGTCTAGCTCTCTGATGCATAGCAAGTAATTGTGAAGATCATTGCTGGTATAGCCTGTTGTCTGGGCCACCCGGACACCAGTCCCTCAGTTTTTAGTTTTTGGGTCCTAAACCTGCCTGTGATTCCATTGGGACTGGAGTTTCTGGTTTGAAACAACCTCAACTCAAGGCAGTCACATGACCAAGGCAATGAGAGAGCCAACAGTAATATATTCTCAGCCTGTGTCCTTTGGATCAGCAGTAGGTGCAACTATAGACTTCTTTTTGTGGGAGAAGGATGGGCAATCTCGATTAACTGCCTTTGAAAACCTGCCGGCGAGTCAACTACGGGCCAGTTCTGACTCTATGGTACACAACAACAACAACAACAACAACAACAACAATGCAACAGACTTTCTTTTTAGTCCTCTAAAACTCACACCCATCCTGAAACATTCCAGCAGCACAGACACATATTTTATCTATTTACAAATGTTTACACTTTCGGAATAAAAGAGAGTAGGAAAAATAGTCTTGGCAATCTACTTTAGAAAATCTACTACTGAAAACCCTGTGGAACACAATGATCAGGTGATGGGACCCAGGGTCAGATAGGATTTCATTCTGTGTGCATAGGGTCACTGTGAGTCACAGGGCCAGCTCAACAGAGCTAACAATATTGTGCCATCTAACAAAATAACCTGAACTCAAGGTAGCCACATGACCAGGTACTGAGAGAGCCAACAGTAATATACTCTCTGCCTGTGTCTTTGTATCAGTTGTATATGAAACTATAAACTAGACCTCTTTGTTGTTGTTGTGTACCATGGAGTTGGAACCGACCCCATAGCTGACCATCTGATGGGTTTTCAGAGGCAGTTAATCTCATGGGAGGAGATTGCTCATCCTTCTCCCATGGAGCAGCTGATGGCCTCTAACTGCAAACTGTTAGGGTTGCAGTGCAGCTTCTTGCCACTAGGTCAGCAGACCTCTTTAATCCCATAAAAACTCAGAGAAACAGCCAGAATTTCAAGCTGGATTTAGAAGAGGCCATGGCACCAGGGATATCGCTGCTAATATTAGATGAATCCTGGCCGAAAGCAAAGCAAAGAATATCAGAAGACCATTTGTGCTCTTTGACTATGCAAAAGCATTTGACTGTGGATCATAACAAATTATGGCTAACATTGAAAAGAATAGGAATTCCAGAACCATTAATTGTGCTCATGAGAAACCTATACCTAGAACAAGAGGCTGTTATGCTAACAGAGCAAGGAAACACTGTTGTTTGTTGTGTACTATCGAGTCAGAACTGAACCGTAGCTGATGCTCCAGTAGGTTTTCAGCGGCAGTTAATGGCCAGGGAGGAGATTGCCTATCCTTCTTCCAAGGAGCAGCTGGCAAATTTGAACCACATGCCTTTGGGATTGGAGCACAGATTCTTAAAACTAGGCCACCACACTATTTGATTTAAAATCAAGAGAGGAGTATATCAGGATTGTATTCTCTCTCCATACCTATTCTATCTGTATGCTGAACAAATTATTAAAGAAACTGGATTCTATTAAGACGAATGAGAGATCAGAATTGCATAAAGAGTCATCAATAAAATTGTGCAGATGATATAATCTTGCTTGCTGAAAGTGAGGAGAACTTACACTCGGGTTTCAGCCTGGAACTTATCCGTCTTTGGTCTTTAACCAAGTATTTTTCCAGTGCTGAAGCTTGATGGCACAAAAGTGAGAACTTAAAATGCTTGCTGCAAAAGATTAAACACTGCAACCACCAATATTAATTGCATCTCAATGTCAAGAAAACAAAAATTCTCACCACTGGATCAGTGGGCAACATCATGATAGGTAGAGAAAGGACTGAGGCTGTCAACAACTTAATCTTACTTGGATCCACAATCAATACACTTGGTTACAGCATTCAGGGAATTAGGAGATGTATTGCACTGGGAAAGTTTGCAGTCTGGGACCTCTCCAAATTATGATGTTAGTTTGTAGACTAAGATATACCTTATTCAGGTCATGATCTTTTCAATCACTTGCTATGTATCTGAGGGCTGGACAGTGACTAAGGATGACAGAAGAAGAATTGATGCCCTTGAACTGTGGTGTTAGAGAAGAGTACCAAATGTCCCATCGACTGACAAAAGAACAAGCAATTGTGTCATGCAGAAGGTGCTGCTGGAGTGTTCCTTGGAGGTAAAGATGATAAAGCTTCATCTCACATATTTTGGGCATGTAGCTAGGAGAGGCTATTCATTGGGGAGGGACATTGTGCTTAGAAAGGTGGAGGGATGGTGAAAGAGAGGATGACCCTCAGCCAGGTGGATTGACACAGTGACTGAAGCAATGGGTGCAAGTGTGTCTGCAATTGTGAGGATAGCACAGGATAGGACAGGTTCAGATTGCTTGTTCATGGAGTCTCTTTGAGTAGTACTTGACTCAACTGGCAGCTAACAACAGCAACAACGAAAAAACAACATCTTGCTAACCTAATGAGACAGCTAATAATATTGTCTTCATTTCACAGGTGAGTGAAATGAGATAGAGAGGGAAAGCAAATTGGTGGAGATCAAACAAGTAAGGTAGAACTTGCATGCACACTCAGGTGGATCTGGCTGCAAAGTCCAAGCTCCCAAAACTGACTTCACACTCCCTTCACCCACAGCTAACATCTTCTGAGGTTCTCAGTGGGAACCCTTGGGCAGATTTGATATCTCCCTCCAATGCTAAATCAAATTGCTTGCCTCCTAGAAGATACAAAACTGCTATTCTTACACATGTTGTAGCTCTGTGTATGTACTTCATCTACCACAAACCCAAAGCAGGAAAGCTGGGTTTGGCTTATAAAAGCCATTTAGAAATATTGAGTTACTTGCATCATGAATTATTAAATAAATATTACATTTCTCCTAGTGCTGGGTGCTGTGCTGGGTTTACAAAGGTAAGCTGCAGCTTTCTGTCTTCAATATTTTGTAATCTTTACAGGAACAAAAAAGGTCCGAGGTCTGTACCATGTACAAAATCAAGTGCACAAAGGTTCAAGTGGGTACTATCTTCTTCCAGATCATAAGCCCTATGAGGATAGGGATAGCATCTGAAATTAATTATTTTTGAGTCTTCATAAACTATCTCAGTAATTGGAATGTAACTGATGATTCATAAATGTCACCAAAGGAGAGTAAAACCGTCAGGGAGATGGACTAACAGTGATTACAACAATGGGCTAGAACACAGCACAGAATGTGAGGATGACACAGGCTCAGGCAAGGCTTCAATCTATCGTACATGGGGTTTCTATGAGTTACGAATGACACCTAGCAACAAACATTTGACACTGAAGGAAGCAAGGGAGGGTGGGAGAGAAAAAAGAAGGAAAAGAGGAAAAAGTAAGGAAGGATGAAGGAAAAAGGTAAGAGGAAGAAGAGTGGGAAGGAACAGAACAGCATGTACAAAAGAATAAGGAAGAAAATCTATCTTCAGGAGTCTAGAAAGAAAGAAGGAAGGAATGTGAAAGACAAAATAGAGGATACAGAGGAGGAGCTCCCTGGTGGTGATTAATGTGCTCAGATGTTAACTGAGGCACCTCAGAAGAAAGACCTGGTGATTGCTACTCAAAGATTAACTCCAGAAACCTTGTGGAGCACACTTATTCTCTCACGTGGATGAGATCACCATGAATCAGAATTGATCCAATGGCAACTGTTTGAAGTTTTTTAAGGTGCAGAGACAGAGGGAGAAAGCCCCCAAGACAGGACAGAGCTTGGGCACAGACTCACCAATGTCACAAAATACAGGAACACACAGTGCAGAATTCGGAACTTGATTCGATGCTGTAGGGCAGCGGGGACGTCTGTAGTGAGGAAGTGCTCAAAGATAACCCATGCCAAAAGCCCCAGGTGAAAGAAGAGCAGCACCAGAAGCAGTGCCAACCACAGGGCACCCATGATCTGAGGCCACAAGAAATTACTGCCTGGAGAACCAGCTCAGTAACTTGTTTACGGAGGATCTGGCTTGCTTATATGGGTTGCTCCCTTCTACGTAATCTCTTTACATCTGTCCCTGACTCAATGACCTGATATCTTTGCAGTATTTAACCGAAACTTGGCCCGTGAGAGCTAGGAAGTTCTACTTCCCCCGGGAATGTAGGAACCAAAGAAACCCATCTGACTTATTGTGGGGAAGCTTGGAACATAAGCTGTTCAAGGGCTCATGAGGAGCAAATGTCAAGTTCAAGTGACATCAGGAAGGCATATCTCACATGGGCAATATAGGCCTCTTTGACTTGATCTTTCAGTGGTAAAATAGGAAGTATAACCAGTCATTCTCTCTGGAGCCTGATTGTTACCACTTTTGCAGGATCCTGATTTTAATTGTCTCTGAGTTGATCCACAACATCTGGTGACCACATGTACAATGGAATGAAATGTTGACAAGCCCTGTATCATTCCAGCAATCAGTAGTGAACTACACCAGTGTGATTCATAAGACTGATTTTTGATATTAGATTGTCAGGTCTTCCCCCCCACTCCTCAGTCTATCTTTTGTCTGGAAGCTCCACTAAAACATGTTTGGCATCATAACATTGAACAGGTTTCCTCTGAGGAACAATGGTGACTGTCTATGAAATATATCAGCTGGGAATAAAAATTGGATTTTACATGGAAAGCAAGAATTATATACCACTGAGCTACCAGTGCTTCGCAGAATCTGGTTAGTCTGGTTAAGTATAAATTTCCAAAGATTGCAATACCAAGATTTCACAAACTGGTTGGTTTAGATGAAGAGAAATTTGTAGTCTCCTAGTTCAAAGGAGCTAATAGTCCAAATCAGTCCATTGGTCAAGTTATACGCCTTCTGAAATATCTAGGGGAAGATTTCTTTCTTGTTCAACCCAAGTATTCCTTGTCTTCATATGACCTTTCTTACTCTATCTCTTCTCTTTTATAGAACACGAGTCAGAATAAATTATTGTTAAGTGCTGTCGAGTTGAGTACTTCTTGTATTGACCCTATGAACAACAGATCTGATCCCTAGTCTATCCTGTGCCAATCTCACAATCTGACACACTTGGACCCATTAATACAGTTACTGTATCAATCCATCTGATTGAACGTCTTTCTCTCTCTTGCTGTCACTTTACCTTTCCAAGCATGTTGTCTTTCTACAACGATAGCCTCTTTGAGCAACATGCCCAAAGTATGCAAGACAAAGCTTCACAATCCTTGTCTCTAAGGAGTTCTCTGACTTCACCTTCTCCAAGACATATCTATTTGTTCTTTTGACAGTTCACACAATATTCAGTACTTTTCCGTCAATGTCACAGCTCAAATGTATCAATTTTTCTTCTGTCATCTTTATTCAATGCCCAGCTCTCTGATACATAGTAAATGATTGAAAGGACCATGGCCTGAATTGATATGCTAGTATCTTTGCTCCTCAGTAATTTGTAGAGGTCCCTGACTACAGAGTTACCCAGTGTAATATGTCTCCTGATCTCGTGACTTCTGGTATCAAGTGTATTGTGTGTGAATCCAAGTAAGATGAAGTCATTGAAAATATTTTTTCCATTTATAAGGATGTTGTTTATTGGTCCAGTGGTGATAATTTTTGTTTTCTTGATATTGAGATGCAATTCATATTGTAGGTTTCAGTGTTTGATCTGCAACAAGTATTTCAAGTTCTCCTTATTTTCAACAAGCAAGGTTGTGCCATCTGTATACTAAAGGTTACTGATGCATCTTCCTCCAATCCTGATGCCACATTCTTCTTTTTATAGTCTAATTTCTTGAATTATTTGTTGTTGTTGATCATGATTATGTCACTCTATTTCAGCAAGATCTGTTCATTGTCAACATCTTTAAAGATGCTATTTACAAATAAAATCACTTTCACAAGTTAGGACTTCAACTTACTCTTATGGGGAGAATGGTCACAAGTTAGTGCATAAGAGTGAGCAAAACACTTCTTCTTTTAATATTTTACCCTAACTCTATGGATGCCCCAATACAGGCCATGGGGAAGAGGTAAAGAATGTAGGGACTAGAGAATGTCCTCAGAAGTCAAATTGCTTGGGTTTGTACTTTTCCTTTTTCTCTTATTAACTCTGTGGCCTCATTTCTGTTTAGGTTCTATTGAGCCAATTCTGACTCAGCGTGACCCCATGTACAATAAAAACCACACTGCCAAGTTACCTAGTTCTGCATCTGCACAATTGTTCTGTTTGAGCTCATTGATGCAGCCACTGGGTCAGTCCACTTTATTGAGGGTTTTCTTTTCCATTGATCTTCTTTTTTGCCAAGCATGCAATAAGTTTTCAGAGACTGGTATCATCTGATAACATATCCGAAGTACTTTGAATATGTAAAGACCTAGAGTTAGAAAACCAAAGGGAAGAATATGCTTGACATTTTTCAAGCTGAAACAATTGAAAAAAAATCCCAAAACAAAACAAACACACCCCACCCAAAAACAAACAAACTTTAAATTGCATTATTCAAGGATTCTATGGGGAGAATGTTGAATGATAAAGGAAGCATCAAAAGAAAATGGAAGGAATACACAGAGTCACTGTGCCAACAAGAATTGATACATAGTCTACTATTTCAGGGAGTTGTTGCTTGTTGCTGTGTTCCATAAAGTTGAAATTGACCCATAGGTGACCTTCCAGCAGGTTATGATAAAATCAACCAACCAAGCAACCAAGCAACCAAAAAAATTCCCAAACATCACTTGTACTGAGGGGAAAGTCCAAGCTGTATTAATGACACTAGTGAAAAACAGAGCTCCAGGAATGATAGAATATCACTTGAAATAGTTTAAAAAATGAAAGCAGTGTTGATACTTATCACTGGTATTGTTGTTATGTGCCATCAAATGGGGGAAAAAACCCCTCATAACTAGTTCTCTAGGAAGTTTTCAGACTGTAAATCATATGAGAGGAGATTGCCCATTATTCTCTTGTGTAGCAGCTGTTGGCATGGACTTGAACCACCTATCTTTGAGTTGGAAGTAAAACTTCTTACCTCTAAGCCACCAGAACTCCCTGATGACTGGTATATGTCAACAAATTTGGAAGGTCAAACTTGGAAGACTCAGTCATCTCACTGGCAGAAGTCTATATATCTCTGAAATATACAAATTTAGTTGGAAGATCTGGCTCCCTGACTTGAAGAATACAAATCTGTACCTGTTTCAAAGAAAGGTGATTTAAGGGAATGTGTAAATTATTGAGCAATATCATTGATATCACATCCACGTAAAGATTTAGTGAAAAGAATTAAAAAATATCTGTAGCAGTACATTGACAAGGAGCTTCAGAAATACAAGATGAATTCAAAAGAGGTCATAGAATGAGAGATATTGGTTGAGAGATATGAGTGATCTCGGCTGAAAGCAGAGAATACTAGAGAGATATGTACTTGTGTTTTAACGATTATGTAAAAATGTCAAACTATGTGGAACAAAACACATTATGGATAACACTGTAGTGAAAGGGAATTCCAGAACTCTTAACTATAGTCATGTAAAGCCCGTATATAGATTATAAGGCAGTTGTCAAACAAATTCAGGGGGGTAAAAGCATGTATCCTTTTACCATCTGTATATAAAAAATATATATATGCTTAGCAAATACTCCAAGAATATATGAAGAAATACTTTGGAATATGTGAGAAATGTATTGTTAAGACTTGGGATTGGAGAAAGACTCAGTGACAACAATACACTTTGTTGATAAACTTTGGTTGCTGAAAGTAAAGAAGACTCGAAGCAGTTACTGATGAAGATATGTAGCCCTTTGATTGATATGGAGGACATAAACTTTAAGAAGGGTCTGATACTACCCTGCTGAAAGCTGAATCAGAATCCACCCCCTAACCATATACAAAAATCAACTTCAGGTGGATCAGAGACCTGAGGATAAAGCCCAAGGCCATAAAGATCATAAGAGATAAAGTGAGACTAAGCTTAGAAGGCCTGGCCCATGGTATAAAGAGGCTGACAAATATAGCCAGAAATACACAACCGGGAGAGAATAAAATTGATAAATGGGACCTTCTAAAGAGTAAATCCCTGTGCACATCAAAACCTTTTTCCAATAGGGTTAAAAGAAAACCTACTGACTGGGAAAGAACATTTCACAATACCATGCAAAAATAACAAAAGCTTACAGAATACTGTAGGGTCTTTACACGAAAAATATTGATAATCCAGTTACAAAATGGGCAAAAGACATACAAAGACTTTTCACAGGGGAAGATAATTTGCATGGAAAACAGACACATGAAGAAATGTTCAAAATCACTAGCTATCAGATAGATGCAAGTCAAACCACAAGACAAATAAAAACCATTTCACTCCAGTAGCAGTTATAACATTTAACAGGATAAATAATAAATGTTGGAGAGGATGTGGAGAGATTGGAACTTTCTTTTTTTTAAATATAAATTTATTATTAATTTCAGTAAAAATTTACAGAGACTTTGGATTTCCATTCATTCATTGTTGCACTTTTCTCCCCTCCCAACCCTCCCCCCTAGTACACTACCCTCTTGGAAAAGTAAAAGACAAAGTCTTTCATTTTACAAACCCTCCCCCAGGTCCACTCCACCATGTAGCCTTCACTCTAGACTCCTGTCATGACAAAAATACCTAATCACATATCCGTTTTAAACAGTTTTCTCCCTCATCTGTTTCAATGCAGTATACATTATTGAACCCATCTTTCTCAGTCTCTCCCCAACCCCAAGGTCAGTCCTGTTTTACAACAATGGCACCATGCAGTATTTGTCCTTTTTGTGACTGAGATACTTCACTCAGCATAATGTTCTCCAGAGTCAACCATTTTGAATAATATTGCATGAGTTCCTTGTTTTTCAATGCAACATAGTATTCCATTGTGTGTGAATATATCACAGCTTCTCTAGCCATTCGTTTGTTGATGGGC